GCAAGCTTAAAGGAGAACTATGGAGTAACCCTTTTATCCCATTGTGCTCTTTAGGGTCACGGGAGAACATATACTAACCTCCTCCCGTGACCCAAAGCTCAGTATATAGCAAGCTATTGCATGCTATATACTGAGATCGCCGCAGCCGGGACGGATTCTGATCCACCCAGCTGGCTGATTGACAGCGAGCTCTGCCTATCTAGATGTGCCTGCCCCCTCCCCTGTCTGTTCCTTCACTCAGCGCTGGAGGATCAGAGAGGGAAGGGGGGAATCCCTGCGGTGACTGACAGACCAGTTATCCGCCTTCCCAGTTCTCTTCTAGAAACTACAGAAGAGGTTTGCAGTCCAAATCAATGTGACAACACTTTTCCTCCATAGATACAATGCAGCGAGAGTTGTCACCATGGGGCAGGAAGTGTGTTACTGGCAGGATCACAAACGCAATAAAGGAAAATAAGCCTGAAAAAAAAAAAGAAAACTAATGCAGCCACTGCATCTAAGGACCACCAAACTGCAATATGTTACATTTTTCCGATTAGATACGCTTTAATTGACGTTCATTGCCCGAGGGCCAGGAAACGGACAGCCCGCTTCCACCTCACTCAAAATGTGAATATTAGCAGCTCCTGCATCTGTCGCTAGGGTATGAGACGTTGGCGAGGACCGCTGACACTGGACATTCCATAGACATTTTCGGGGCCTTTGTGGTTCAGCACCGGAGACGCTAATCTCTGCAGGATCAAGAGCGCTCTACGTCTACAGGCGGCCGCCATGCAAATCCCAACACCACAGCGGGCACGCATTTGCTGTTATTTAACCCCTTCATTGCACTGACTTTTTTGTTGTTGTTGTTGCTGGTACAATGGTAAACAAGACATGCCCTACAATAATAATAATCATAATAACAATAATGATAATATTAATATAATAAAAATAAGGATAATAATATTAAATATTTAGGAATACATCCCAGATTCGAGCCGCAGATACAGTCCGAGGTTTTCCCGCCTTTCATCTGTTCTCTGCAACGCAGGAAAAAAAACATCTAAAGACTAACAGCGGCTCAGGTTGGCGGGATGACTCAGCCGGCGTCATATCAGTGTTATGGCGAACTAAAAGTCGGGAGTTTTGGGGGCTGGATAATCCACTGAGGCTGCCCGAGGACAGACTATAAACAGGATCTCTTATAGGAATAAAACGAATCCCGTGCTTCCGGATAAGAGATAAATAAATGAGGAGGGAAGAGATGGCGAAAGCGAAAACTAAAAAGGCAAAAGGACTATTGATCTAAAACAGCGGCGTTTAACAAGGGACCGGGAAAATCCCTGGGTGCAGCTACCCCAGGGCTGGGCAACCATGGCACTTCAGCTGTTGTGGGACTACAAGTCCCATGAGACACTGCAAGAATCTCTCAGGCACGACTCCCAGAAACAGAGGCATGATGGAATTTGTAGTTTCACCACAGCTGGTGAACTGAGGTTGCCTACCCCTGGTCTGCCCCTTTCTAAGGCTCTGCAACGCTAACTGTCTGCAGGGAAACGGAGTGACTTGTAGTTAAGGTATGCCGCCGAGTCCCCTCCTCTCTCCTGACACTGTCGGGCTCTCGGTCAATCAAAGTGTTGGTCAGAGAGGAGGGGCATGGCCTGCCACAGGGCTGTGTGGGTCTTTGGACGCACACAGCCACTGCGGGCACGAGCGCGGAGGGATGCCTCCATTGGCCGGTGGTTGATGGCAGAAGGAGCCTATGGTTCCTCTGCTGTCAGTATCCTCCCCCTGCAACCAGGAGTACGGGGAACAGAGGACCACTTCGGGACCGGCGGCGTGGACGAGCGTCGCTGACAGGTAAGTGTAGGGGGTGACGGAGGGAACTGTTCCTGGGTGTCCCCGACCTGTGCATGGGTTACCTCTCTGAATACCACTTGAGCCTCTCCTCCTTTCCAATTCCCGTTATTATCTACAATTATATCTTACAAACAATAAAAATAGTACATCGTATAAATTGTTGCATAAGGCAACATTAGTAGAAACAGAATATAAATAGGTGCATTCACGTGAACAAAAGTATCAGTGTTGGTATGAATGACCTTTTTAGAACTGTCCGCTGGCTTCCAGATCGGATCATTTGGCTAGTCATTTCTACGCCAGCCCCCCCTCTAAAGTCCCTGTAGAGCTGTACTGTACTACGCCTGCAATGACACCATTGAAACAAACTGCAGCTGCCTAAATCTCCCTCTCTGACAGGGCTTGCACGGGTTATGATAGAGGAGCCACTTAACGTGTCATCGCCGCATGACATCATTTTCCTTCCCTGTGCTCTCCGGCAGGCTGTCACATGACTCCTTGTTTGGCCGTATCGCATGCATCAGTAAATTTGCTCTTAGCGTCTCCGTTGCACTAGATGAAATCACATTGCAATATGCTTTTATTCTAATGGACTTTGGATCCATTCCGGTTGCCAAGGTGAGCGATGGCATCCATCCTCGTCTATTCGGCGCTGCCCTTTAAGCCCTTGTGTCTTTGAGGAAGCTGCCTACATAGTAGGCGACCATCAAACTAATTAAAGGAGAGCTCCAGGCGGAACAAAAACCACACAGTAATAACTAAGGCAGGCTTCTGTGTCCTCCTGGTTTTGGAAGAGAACAAAAATTAGAATTGTTCCATACATTTTCACGCCTACAGCTGCAAGGAAATCCGTCCAACAAATCAATTTGTGCCCATACTGCTGTTCCATTCAATAACAAGCCCCTGCCACATTCCAAAAATGTCTTAAAGAGAACCAATCACGTCTGGATTTATACAAGAATATGAATATTCCTTCCCAAACTGTCATAATTCTGCAGCTTTAATTATGAAATATTTGAATGTCCCCTTTATTTAGATGTAGTTACTTTATCTGAGGATGACTCTGAAGCAGAGAGGCTCCCTGGGGTCCAGAAGTTGCTACCCTGACAACTGACTAATCCCATGCTAACAACCCATGCTGTCTCCATGCTCCTGAATGCACATAACAGTACCAAATAATAGAACCACGGCTGAGTGGAATGCAAATTACAGATCTCTCCCATCTGATACGGTCATACACAATGACGGGCTGGGAGCCAGAGTGTGTTATTAGCATGAGGTCAAGTAACGACAGCTCAACAATGGTTAGAATTGGGTGGTCCGAGTCTGACCCTCAGCTCCAAAATTAAAGTAAAGTTAGATAAGGAGACACATTTAATTCCTGCATAAGAAAGCGTGCTATCGGAAACTCATTTATACCCTTCAGTAAAAGTACTGCAGTAGATCACAACCAGTTCAAGAAACAGAACAACATAACCTGCTTTTATATCACGTCCCTGATGGTTCCTGTGGATTAAAGCCCACCCAATGCTAATACGTCAGTTTTGGGTTTAGGTTGAATCACAAGCAAGGTTCCTATATCTTGACAGTAGTAGCGAGATCTACCCACTGGAGATCACAGTTCTGCCCCATGAGGTCTTGCATTGGGAGTTTGACACCATTGGTAACAGACACAGCGTGTGGGCAGACCTGACAACACAGGTGCGGAGACATCACTGACAGAGCCCCAAGAGATTGAGTCAACCCCTTGAGATCTACTCATAACCAACGTATGGGATTTCGGTTAACTGACCCTTTAGATTTACCCCACCACCAAGGATCTATTGAGCCCAACACATCTGGATTAAGGTACTGCAGAGGTATGTGTCCCTTAAAAGGTGAGTTCATACAAGTGCCAGAAGCGGAGGAAACCTCAGAGGTGGACATTGCGGACCGTTCCAAGAATCCCTCGCGTGTGACTTTTTACAGTTCTGTAGCATCACATTCTCACCTGCAAGGTCCTCTCTTCCTGTCACTCATTTCTGACACCTCCCCTCACGAAACGGCCGACCATTCAGCACAAGACAGCTTGATACCCAACTAATCTCCGCACGTAGATTCAAAGCAACTGCCCACATCCGCAGCTGCTAATCGCCAATCTAACTTAATGATCTCTTGCCAGCCCTACATCAATAACAATGCACAACCAGTTATCGATGGACCAGAGATGAACAGGTTTATGCAATGAGGCTCTGCAAAGACCAATCAGGATCCAAGCAGTGTTATAACCCATAGCAACCCGCAATGGGAACAATGAGGGATGACTATGTTCTTATTGCTAGGGGTTACTGCTCTCCACACAACGCACTTAGCCCTTGCAAATCATGGACCTGTTCAGTGATAGGACGCTGGTTTTTCGATGGGTGCCTTTGGTATTAAAAAAGGAAATTATTATTTACTGCACTTCTAAAACCTCTTGCATTCACAAAACAGGTAAATTCTCATTCATTGTAAATTTGGGCATCCTTCCTATTGCAGGAGGCTTCTTTGGCTTGAAGGTCTCTTAATGTCCAGTATGTGCATAACGTCCATTAGGAAAAAAGTCTACAAAAGCTAGCAAAAAAACCTCTATGTGTGATAATATCACAAAAGTGCTCAGTTTCTGCATTGGTAACATGTCTATCTATCTATCTATCTATCTATCTATCTATCTATCTATCCATCAGAATTCCTGCCACCGCCAAACCCCAATGTACTAGAGACTTCAAAAGCTCTGATCAACATCATAGTGCAGGTGCCATCCTTGGGTCCTGTCCTTGTACGCGCATTGCCACAGTGCAGGCAAAAAAAAAGGCACCTCCACAACTGGCCACAGTTACCAGCAAAAGAAGACAGATAACTTGGATCCACCTCTACTACCGACTTTGTCCCCAACACAACAGACTGATCACCCCAAACACTTTCTTAGAAAGACAATACACCAAGTGCAGTAACCTAAAGCAACCAATAATCACTTTTCCTTGTACCGGTAGCCGCTAAACCGACGACCGGTTGCCCCTAACCCGACGACCGGTTGCTTAGGGTTACTGCCCATCGTCACTGCCTCTTTGAGATGCCTTATTAAAAAAAACACAGATGGAACAAGAACCCCCTTCATGGACAATATATCAATAGGGTACCTGGATCGTTGGTTCTGTCCGCTTCTCTCTTAGGGCACGGTGACCAGGTTACGTCCTCAGGAGGCAAAGACGTGAAAAATGGCACCATTCGTATTTTTCATCCTCCTCAGCAAGCCTTCAAAGCCTTCTCAGCGGTGATTATTCACAAACCACTGGGGATGAGAGGTAATTAGGACCGTCCGCTGTAGCATCCAGCCTGAAAATGTAGAGGCAGGAGAAGGAGGGGTGTGAGAGCAGACAACGTTAGTAGTGCCCCCCTTTTCTTTCTCTCGCTCCTGTGTGCGCCGCGCTTGTGTGTGTGTGTGTGCGTGGACGAGTGTGCGGCTGCCTGTTTGTGCCAGGAATAGCAAGCAAGGAGCTCTGAAATGCCAACGACAGGGGTCAGGGAGAGACAGTTCAGCTATGCTCTTTGCTTGCTATCCTCAGGAGAGCCAGAGAGGAGGAGAGAGAGCAAAGCCAGGCTTCACTAGCCATGATCCATCAATAATACATTCTAAATTCTCTCTGCCATTAACTCTTCCAAGGTCACCTACGATAAGGTGCCGAAATCATCGCCTGGAGCGGAGGGAACGGATCCTGAAGGATCACAGAGGCTTTTTTTTGTTGTGCTCCACGCTCGTATCAAAGGTTCCCATTTTAGAATCCAGTGTCAGGCTACATACACACGGCCATCTACACCTTCCTTTTATAACTAGTTTTTTTTATCTTTTTTTAACGCAAGAAAGAAAAAAAACTGCTAAAACCCTATATTTCTGTATGCAGCGCTCTTCCAATATTCCAAAGCGCATAATACATAGACCCTTTTCAAATCAGTCCTAGCCTCCGAAACCCGCAGAGAGCATACATATTCCAGGAAGGCAGTAGGCATCTCTGGTGGGAATTGAGCCCCGGACTGTGGCAGAGCAAGGCTGCAATGCTGATCGCTCCACTGTGCTGGTCTTTAATCTACTTTTGCTTTTTTGGGGCCTCTTTGGCCAGACAACTATTGGCATCGCCTTTTAGTTCCATTGGATTTGACTTTTGTGGTTTGAGAAAGTATAACCAGACCGGTTAGTGTAAGGTGGGCTAAAAATAACTGAAGGGTTCCTTTCATCCCCCTCGCCATAAAGTGTGTGTGGTTGTACTTCCTCATAGCACCCCAAGCCCTATTCCATAGAAGCCATGGATGGATGATGGCCAAGAAGCCTTTGCAGTACGGAACAAATGGCTCTATAATATTAGGTTGTATCTGTGCTCTATACCAGCGGCTCTGGAAGCACAGGAGCATAAAGGAATGATTTGCGTGGCTCTGCCCACTATCCTAAATAAGGAACAAAGCCCTTATTTTTGGGATTTGAGATGGCATGCAAATGCCTTTGGTTTGAAAACCAACTCTGTTGCTAAAATGAAAGTTTCCCAGCATAGAAGATAATAAAGACTCACCTCTCCTGCTGCCCACACAAGAAGCACCATCAGAAACTGACTATTCCGGGACTGTCACATTCCGGGTCCCACTGCCGCCCTCTTTGGTGCCTTCCACCGGCCCCCATGCCAGTGCTGATGTAGGGGATGGCAGATTGAGCCACTGAGTGCAGCAGGAGATTAGAAAACCAATACGCCCAGAAATCTAGGTTTCTCAAGAGTTTTCCGTCTGCTTCTTTTCAATATATTACAGATCTGCAGTGTGGGAAGCGGAAGAATTTTTGATATCTTCTTTGCAAGGAAACTTTTTTTTGGAGCTTTCTTTTTAGCGAGTCCTCTACTGTGCTTCTCTCCTGCTTTGAAACAGGATTCATCTTCCCGACTTCCTCTTTGAGCTAGCACCTATTTTTTTATTCTGCTCCCCATTATTAAGAACATTTGGAAAAATAAAATCAAACTGCATGTTTATAAAAAGTCCCTATGTACATATTTTTGGGTCAGTCGTCTAAAGCTGGTCACAACTATGTAGTCCATGAGATTGTAGAACTTGTCATTGGCTTCTGGTTGTGTAGATGTAAGGAGAAAATACAGTGCAGGTCTCATTAGACCCTTTGTTTGTCTCATGTTGTTTCTTCCTTGCATGTGTATATACCCCTGGTCTGAACTAAGCTTGCTCTAGACTACTTCAGGCACCAAGACTGGGTGGTAGGTCCATGAACATGGCTGAACGTTTCTGTTCATGTTGATGGAGATGGGAGGAGGAGGTGATGAACAAGGCTGGCAGATGCTGCCTATCAGGAGCAACTAAAGCAAATGTTGGCCAAGTCAGCAGGACTTGCCCAAAATTTGAGCAGTGTGTGGCCCTGTCAGTACCCCTCCATTCAACAAAAGTCAATTTTTGAATCAGCTTTCGTAGAAGGAGCCAGTCAGCTGCAGTCAGTTTAGGTATTCTGACAGTGGCATGCCTACCACTCTCTGAATACAATATCCAGCTGGCGAGATTCCCCCATGCACCCTGTTTAGCGTGTACGTGGGAATCAAGCCAACCTTGTCGGTTTTCGTAGCTTGTCCTATCTCTTACCCCAGGCAGTAGGGCATTAGGATTGGTTTGGGTATTCTGTAGGGTTGGGTATTTCCGACAGTGGCATGCCTACTATTGTCAGAATACAATAGCCCAGCTGGTGAGATTCCCACATGCACCATGTTTAGCATGTATGGGGGAATCAAGCCAACCTTGTCGGTTTTCGTAACTTGTCCTATCCCTTACCCCAGGCAGTAGGGCATTAGGATTAGTTTGGGTATTCTGTAGGGTTGGGTATTCCGACAGTGGCATGCCTACTATTGTCAGAATACAATAGCCCAGCTGGTGAGATTCCCACATGCACCATGTTTAGCATGTATGGGGGAATCAAGCCAACCTTGTCGGTTTTCGTAACTTGTCCTATCCCTTACCCCAGACAGTAGGGTATTAGGATTGGGTATTGAGTAGGGTTGGGTATTGAGTAGGGTATGATATTCTGACAGTGGCATGCCTACTATTGTCAGAATACAAATAGCCCAGCTGGCAAGATTCCCCCATGCACCATGTTTAGCATGTATGGGGGAATCCACCAACCTTGTCGGTTTTCGTACCTTGTCCTATCTCTTACACCAGGCAGTAGCTAGATGGCACGGCTTGGAGACTCCCATAGACAAGAGAAGGTCATCCAATCCAGCCAGGGTAGTTTAGAAGTCATTTGTATCCACATAATTAACAAACCATTTACTGAAAATGTATTTGACATTTTTTATTTAGGTAATATTGTCCCTTTCATAAGTCAAACTTCATTGTCATAACCCCTGGGCCCTAGCTATCAAGAAGTTATTTCTCACAGCAAGTAGATTTCCGCATTCCTACTATGGGAGCATGAAAATAAAAATCTGGTTGCTATAAACAAGGTTTTTTCACCCCCAGACATTGATAAATAAGGTCTACCATCTTATCTGGGCTAAACCGAGTGCTTCCGGGCGAAAACCTGAAACCGATCAAGGACACCCTATTCTAGCTGTTCCAGGATAATGCTATGATACTTTAATGGCTCCAAGAAAAAAAAAAAAAATCTATCCTCTATTAGGTAAAGTGTCGACTGACAGCTTTTTAACCTTGGGTAAATTATTGGCCACCAGGAAGCTGTAGACTTGAAAATCCTCCAGGTCTTGAGGCACGGCCAGCATATTAAATGAGAGCAGTGGAGGATCGCTACTGTGTTTTGGGAGGCCGGGCTGTCAATCATTGTGTTGCAGGAAAGCAAGATAAGACAACATAATAGCAACTAAAAGCATCGCTTTCCCATGCAACAGGTACTCCCAGCACTGCAAATCTTGGGGTTCAGTGGACACTAAAAGAAGCATATTGGATAGCATGGTCTAGCAGGAAGGGCTTGCAGCACACCAAGTCCTATAGTATGGTATCGGCATTAAATGGAAACTGTCAAATGACCACAAAGCATGAACTGGGATAATGGCGTGTTAGAGGGAACCGCAAGGTGCAAGAAAATAGTACCACCAGGATCCTTCCGGTCTGCGTACGAGTACACTCACCCACACCGATGTTTAGCTTGGGTGAGCGTACGGCCGCGTACTCCCATAGAGAAGAACAGGCTGCTGGGTAGAATCACACGCAGCACCTGTCCTTCCCGGGAACGGCCAGATACGACTGTGCACGCCGCACGGACCTCAACGGGCCGGCTCTTAGCAGTGTGAATGAGTCCTAAAGCTTTGCTCACTTGTTGTTAAAATGCACAATGCTAACTTTTTAATCCAGGGTTCCAACTGGGCTTCAAAGCCCAATTAAAATCACAGAAATAATATACAGTTAGATAGAGATTGTAAAAACAACCGTCATTTTCATAGTCTCATCTCCCTTTTTCTGTTGTGCAGTGGGTCTTAATGTGACTGCGCAGTCCAGCAGGCACCACACTGGCCAATGCACTCAGACCTGGTCAGAAATGCCCCCTCTCTTATGTTGAGGGGTGTGGCGGTTACTCAGCTATGCCAGCACAGAGCACTGGAGTGGGAGAGAGGGAAAAGGTATTTGAATGGGTAAAGGTATTTCCATGTACAAAACCAGTTACGCATCATAACAGAAATACAGAGTTATCAAGAGAAAAGAAAATGCGTGAGACTTCAATTGGGCTTTATAGGAGCACTCCGGCTGAACAAATTGCCTTTAGTATACCTCAGAATGGAAGGAAACATTTTACATTTATGTTGTGACCATTCTAACCGCATGAAACTCTTTCAGCTAGATTTCTGTCCGGCCCCCCTTATGATTCAGACACACCACTCTACACAACCAGACACCATAATTCACATCTTGCAGCTTCCTCTCTTTCGTCCTGACTGGACTCCCGACAGTGGTGAGAGCGAAAGACAACAAGACAGGCGGCTTCTTTAAAGTGGACCTGATCCCAAAAAGTGAAGATTTGCTATGTTATAGGAAAGATCTAGAAATGTTAATTGTGCCTGAGCAGGAAACTGAAAAATCAATTTTTTTTTGCCGGGGAAAATAGCAGCACACTTCCTGACATGTGACTGTGCCCGGGCACTGCTGTTCTGTAGCCTCGTAGCTGTATATCTGCAGAGTGAGATATAAGGCACTGCTGCCTCTGACTGACTGCTGGTCTCACCAGATTTGGAGTGAGATATAGTGATGTCATTACTGCGCTGCTCATTGTTCTCCTTGCTGGAGAGTAAGCTGCGCCTGATGACCTGCAGTGCAAGGATCTCCCTGCTTCTGCTTCATTCATTCTGTGGCTCTTCCTCCACTTGATCCTTTCTTCTGCCAGTCATCAGATCA